TCTGTATATCGAGATCGTTATAACGATCTGCTTGTGTTGCGTATAAGTACACGCGCGCTAAATCGATGTATATAAATAAATGCTGTGTGTACACCATATCTGTACAAAACAAACGCTTCAAGAAAGTTACGCGTGGATTCACGCGTGGCTTCTTGTTTTCCGGGTTTTCATCATCATCATTATTATTATCAACGTGCCCCAGAACTCCCCGTGGCATCATCTTCATGTCCTCGTTCACTCCTCACCATCGATGGCCAATCGCGGGGCTTCTCGACGCGATACCACCGCTGTGGTTTGGTGCTGGGTTTTTTTTAAATTGAGTTTTAAATACATACGTCTACATCGAAACATCGATATGTCCCAAATATGTATAGGTCCACTTGTGCACACATATCTGCGTGCGTGTAAATCTATATATAGAAGAAAGAAAAACTGCGTTAGATTTTAGGCATTAAAATATAGGAACACGACAGTGCGGTGTATAGCTTTGTAAATGCACTGCTGGATTGTTTGTACTGTACTCGTGTTATTTTAAAACGTTCGGTACCAGCACACGAGTGCTGCTCCTAATCCATTCTAGCTGGCACGTTATTGATAATGAATGTATAACAATGTTACATATCACCCATACAACAACAACAACCACTTTCTTAAAATACGCAAGCAAACATCTCGATGCGTACCTAATTTATAAACTGCACAGACGATTAGTCTCTCTCCGTAGCGGACGTACAAATAATAATAATTATGATAATAAAGAAAATATATTAAAATCTTCACTTCATTATTATACAGGTAAGATCCTATATACTGATAATAACATAATCCGAGAATCGTATTCTCTCAACGGGTGACACACGTGGAGGGCTTGGTGGCAGCCGAAGATTTACACGATTTCTCTCCAACTCCTCGTCTTGTAAAACCTGGCAAAGCACTTGACCCATACACCACTCAACTTGGAGACGTGGTACTACCCCCTGCGTCATTTCAGCCCGAGCGTGCCAAAACGCTGCTCCTGAAACTACACTATATCTATCTTCATAATATATCCTTTAAAAACATTAATTTCATTCAGTGTATTTGCCTATGGGATGCTCGACAGCTGAGCATAATTGCGTTTTTCAGACGAATTTTTTTTAGCTCATAGGATCCAGTAGTTTAAAAGAGGAGCGCTCTTGCCAATAACATCGGATGAATCAGCAGCGTTCGTCTAAGGAAGCCTGACACTGCTGATGAGACCCAAACCTGCGGAACCGGTGCAGAGTTGGTTAGCTTCGCTAGAACACACGGCGCTGGATAGAGAGAGGGAATAGAGGTTGCGCAATTATTATATGAACCAAATAATGAATTATGCACACGTCATTTACCCTCGCACATCTAGGGTTTCACTAGATGTTGTCCGTAAGGATGCTCTAGGCTGGCTTTCGGCAGGCATTGTCGGCGTAAGGCACTACCACTGGAGTCCATTGATGATAATCCTGCATTGTCGTCTACCCTCTAATATCCCCGTAATCCAATGGACGCGATTTACGTCTCCCAAGTTGCGTGCACAAAATAAAAAAAAGGCGGCCGGGGGCGGAAAGCACCGCGGACCCGGTGCTCAAACGAACTTCCGGAACAGCGATCAGGACTGTCCCGGCTGGCACGACGCAGGGAGTTCGGGGATCGCCCGTGCGAAGTCGCGTGGGGCCCTGTTCCGTTCGCGTGCGGCGCGCGCGTTAGGAACGAGCCCGCAGGTAAGGGCCTCTTGCGGTTAAAGTGCAACGTCCGTCCCCTTTTCGTGCCGGTTTTGTTTACCGAGGCTGCAGGGAAGTAGCGACTGTTTGAGGGATGGTGCGTGTGTGTGTGCCTGTGCGTTCGCGTGTGTGGGGGGGAGCGGTGGGGCGGTGGTTAGCGAGCCGCGCTACGGACCCGGCAACCCGAGTTCGATTCCCGCTCACGACCAAGACCGGTGACGGTGTTCTGAATCGGTCTTGGGCCTCGCCTAGGTCGACTAAGCCTCGAATGAGTACCTGGTGCGATGCGTGAACATCGCCACTAGGGAGACAAAGGCAGCCGAGCGTGGTTCTGGCCACCCACTCGCTCCTGTGGCGTGCCGGCCTTCAAATACCCTCTCTAACAGCACTTGCCCCAACAGTCTGATCAGGCTATAGGTGGGGGGTGGGGAATCTTTGCTTTTGTCCGTGTGTGCGTTAGCATCTGTGTATGTGTGAGCGCGCGCGTGTGTTCGTGTCTCTGTATGTTTGAGCGCGCGTGTGTGTGTATTTGTGCGTGTGTGCTTTTGTCTGTGTACGTCTGTGCGTGCGTGCGTGTGTGTCGAGTGATATATCTGAATCGACTTTGGGCCTCCCCTAGGTCGATTCCGCCTTAAACGAGCACCTGTGACGGCGCGTAAACATCATCACTGGGTGGACAACGGCGTTCGAGCTTCGTGAAGACGGCCGTGTGCCCTGCCGACATTAATAGGTGCTCGCAAACAACGCGTGGCCCAACAGTCCATGTATGCGACTTTGTATTTTCATGCAGTCGACCGCGCACACTCTGCTGCCATGCCGGTTCGATTCCCGACCCTGCAACACCCGATGCCACTACGAATGTGAACCCGATCCGAACCTCAATGATGTAAACTCAGCCTGAAACGCTTAAAGTCACAATATTTGCCCCGGGGCCATATAATCACCCTCGCGTGCTCTGGCGGCCTTTATAGGTGTTCGCTCACAGCACTCGCCCCAACAGTCTACCTTTGATGAATGGTATAACTTGCTTTTGTGTGTTGATCCTTAATGCATAATGCGTAAAGGGCCCAACAATAATACAATGGCAGTATTGGTTTTCATATATATGTACAAGATACCTTCCAAAACATGTAAATATATCATACAAAATTAATAATACAAAAATATAGCCATGCACCAATCCACTGCCTCCCCCCCACGCCTTACGATCGTATTGGGTTGTTAGACCATACTTCACCACGCTGGTCAGTGCGAGTTGGCGAAAGGGGCTGGCCCCGGACCGGTTCAGATATCACTCGCCACTGATGTTAGCCGTGGCTGGAAATCGAACTTCGGGCTTCGGGTTGTTTAGCGCTATGTTGCTGCTAATCACTGCCTTCGCCGCCCTTGCCCGAGCAGTCCCATAAACACGACACTCATACACAGTAAACAAACAATGGTGAAACAATACAAATAAAACAAGTCTTATCCTGCAGCCGTACAAATGCGTAGTGAGCCCTAACCAGTAACGCTATCAGTGCAGTGATGCTGCGGGGGATTGCATGAGTTTATATATATGTGTCGAGATACCGGCACGAGGATCGCAAAGGAAGCGATTTTAGGAACCCGTTGTGGAGAGGGGGGGGGGGCGGAGATGGATGGCAGAGTGAGGGGGGGGTGAGGAATGGAGCTCGGAAGAGAAAATGGAGGGGAAGGAAGGCGCTCGCGGAGATGGGGGTTGGGAGGTTATGAACCCTCAGATAAATGTAGTGGGGGGTTTGGGGTGTCTGTCCATCGACTGGATGTTTAGAAGCAGCGAGCGGTTGGTCAGCCGCTGGTGGTCATCGGGGGCAGTGGCGATGGGCACAACCGGCCTCTGGCCTCTCGCGTGCGTGCGGAGAATGAGCACCGGCAACGCGCCGTCTGCTGTGCGGTGGACGCTGTGAATGTGCCCGGCGTGGTGAGATCCGCGCGTATCCCGGAATGCGCTGGCGCTTAAATAGGCGCTGCATGCGCATGTCCGTACGTCCCTTGTCCAATTAAACAGACAGATGTGGCTTACAAACAACAACAACAATTTACCCCGGCGATGAGTATCGCTGGGAAATGTAGAACGCGTGCCACGCAGACCATTGGGCGTGCGGTGGTGCTTCGATGTGTTCATCAAGAGAGAGAGAGAGGTATACGATCACATGCAGAGCCGAGCTTGCGAATAAAATCGACTAATAAGTGGATAGTACTAAAATAACCGACCCGGGGGGGGGGGGGGGAAGCTAACGTAAGATGCGGGAATGTGTGTCGTTGAACCCGCCACCACCCGACACAGTCAATTAGCAAGGTTTTGTCACGTAAACAAAACGTGCCAATTAGTTACATACTTTACCCAGGTACATGTGTGTGTGTATGTAGCACTGCGCGTGTGTGCCAGAATAGCAGAAACTGTTGAGAGAGAGGTGGTCGCATTTCATTGTTCCCGCTGACTTCTCTCGGGGGTCTGCCCTGAATAATTATCTCACTCGGGAGCTCTGAATTCCCTTTAATTGCTCCGCCCTTGAGCCTTTACGGCGATCCCCCTTTGCTGTGCCCTCACGAGATGACGGGCGGGCGGCTGCTGTTCCTGCTCCTGCTGCTGCTGTCCCTGCTGTTCCTGCTGCTGTTGTTCCTGCTCCGCTGTTCCTGCTGCTGCTGTTCCTGCTGCTCCTACTGCTGCTGCTGTTCCTGCTCCGCTGTTCCTGCTGCTGCTGTTCCTGCTGCTCCTACTGCTGCCGTTGTTCCTGCTCTGCTGTTTCTGCTGCTGCTGTTCCTGCTGCTTCTGCTGTTGCTGCTGCTCCTACTGCTGCTGTTCCTGCTCCGCTGTTCCTGCTGCTGCTCCTGCTGTTCCTGCTGCTGTTGTTCCTGCTCCGCTGTTCCTGCTGCTCCTACTGCTGCTGTTGGTTCCTGCTCCGCTGTTCCTGCTGCTGCTGTTCCTGCTGTTGTTGCTGCTCCTACTGCTACTGTTCCTGCTCCTGCTGTTCCTGCTCCGCTGTTCCTGCTGCTGTTCCTGCTGCTGTTCCTGCTGCTCCTACTGCTGCTGTTCCTGCTGCTTTTCCTGCTCCTGCTGTTCCTGCTCCGCTGTTTCTGCTGCTACTGTTCCTGCCACTCCTACTGCTGCTCCTACTGCTGCTGTTCCTGCTGCTGCTGTTCCTGCTGCTCCTACTGCTGCTGTTGCTGCTCCTACTGCTGCTGTCCCTGCTCCTACTGCTGCTGTTCCTGCTGCTGCTTTTCCTGCTCCTGCTGCTCCTACTGCTGCTGTTCACTACTGCTGCTCCTACAGCAGCTACAGCTGCTGCTGCTGCCACTGTTGCTACCTGCTGTGTAGCAAGTCCACAGTCATTGCTGCAAACGGAACAAAAGGAACGGCATTGGTTGGCTGGTGTTGTGCGCCGGGGCCTCCGCTCATTTGTAATGAACGCCTTGTTCCCTCTCCAACACAATTCAACACGATTCTCACAACGGTCACCACCACGGTCCCTCCATTACTACCCTGGCTGCAGCTGCTGACACTGTTGACGGGTTTTTGGTTGTTGTTTGTTGTTTCATGGTGCATTGTGGGTTTAATTTCGCGTTATTGTCTGGTGAGGTTTTGTGTGTGTGTTTTTTTTCGCCAAGTGCATCCAAGCAGAGGCTTTGCAAATATTTTGACATACTTGAACTTATAATCCGCCATCAAAGGCCACTTGGCCCACGGACACGTTGAAAATCTATTCTGTTTGACTTGACAATAACACAAACGACACATAAGTGAGAGGCGACGCAATGTCTCGTCGAATGGTCACGTGAATGTGCGAACGTTGTAAATCGGCTTCAAGTGAAAAAAAAAAACCACGCAAATGTAAACGTCTTCATTGTGATTTAATTATCGCCCGATTAGGCTATTAGTCAGGTCTATTGAAAAAAAAGAAAATGCAAGTACATCGCTCGTGCGGCGATTAACAATTAACGCACTTCATTCAAACCGCACTGCACGAGCATTGATGGCGATGATGCATCGCACCGGCGTAACATTCACGAACTTCTCATTATTCCACATTCGTAATTGTTCACTCGTGCATCGCTACAATCATCATCACCACCAACCATCATTACCACCAGCATCATCATCATCGTCGTCTCCACCACCAACACACTTCCATCGACGAGTTGTTTAGCATTCATTGCGAGTCATCGGTGCTGCCCGTGCTGCTGTTGTTATTATCATCATCATCGTCATTGTTGCTATCGCCGCCGCCACCACCACCACCATCATCATTTTGGGGGGGGGGGATGGGGAACGTCAAAAAACGCGAAGTCCCGAGTGAAGGAGTCAAGTGGCCGGGAGCTGCTTACTGCATTCATCTCTCTGCACGTTTCCTTATCCGGGCTTTCGAGCGCGCGCTCCCATTGGCTGCGCGCGTCACATGCGCCGACGCTAAAATATACAACGATCGCTTTTGGAGGTGGGCTTCCCGCGACAGCAAAACGACAACGGCAGAAAATATAGCATCTCCGAAACACCCCAGCAAAGAAATTAATGGCCATGAGTTCATATTTGATCAACTCCAACTACGTGGACCCCAAGTTCCCGCCGTGCGAGGAGTACTCGCAGGGAGACTACATCCCAGAGCCGAGTCCCGAGTACTACGGGCAGCCGCGAGACCCTGGCTACCGACAGCCCCCGGAGCCCGTGTACCCGCAGCACGCGGACTACCCCGAGCAGCCCTACCACTGCGGGGAGCCCGAGCCGGAGAGTCTGGGCACAGCGCAACCCGCGTTGCAGCTGGGCGGCGGCGGCGGCGGGGTGGTCGCCGCTGCGGCCCCGCAGGCCGTGACCCCGGGCCCAAGAAGGCAGCAGCAGCAGGGACACTTGATGCGCGGCGCCCTGCATCACGATCCGTGCGGGGAAGCGGCGCCTACGTGCACCCAGCAGATGGGCGCTGCTGCGTCTAACGGGCTGGCGTGCAGTAAGCAGCAGCAGCAGCAGCCCGTAGTCTACCCGTGGATGAAGAAGGTGCACGTGAACACTCGTAAGTAGACCACACACGCTGCTCCGCTTTTGTTCCAAGCTGGCGTGTTTTATTTTTGTGTGTTTCTATCGCGTGGCTGCGTTCCCCCCGCGCGCGCTCTCTCTCTGGGTGTGCCAGTGGGTCCCCGTAGACTCGCTGGTCTCGGGGAGCGCTGGCGTGAATTGCACATTACCGAGATTTATGTCGCCTTAAAGGACGGCGCGGCGGCCCCTTTCATAATATTTATTGCGGCTGGTGGTTTATGGGCCTGAGCGGGGCTCGCATTTTTTCTCTCTCTCTCTCTTTTTTGAACTGGGGATGCCCTGGACGCGTGGTGGTGGTGCAACTGTGCTGCCGAGGAGGGCACCTCGCGGTTCCCGCCTATGGCTGCTGTCAAGTCTCGCCGCCGTGTTTTGTGTAAAAGATGCTCTCTCGGCATTGTTGCGCTCACGCCTGAGCCACGCGCGCTTTCCCCAAACAATAGCAGCTAGTGGCAGCAGTAGCGGCGCACGGTGGCCGGGCACGGTGGCTGGAGGATATGCGTCGTGCTGTTTAACAGCCACAAGCTAAACGTCAGCTCGGTGCGCGTAACGACTTGACGTGCGCGCTTAGTTTTTATTTTATTTTTTACCGCTTCTCGTAAAAAAAAAACATTAACGCAATAAAAAAAAACCCACACACACGCGCGTGCATATCGCTGGATGTTTTTTTTTCCTTTGCCCTGAAACAAATGCATCCATTTCCATAGCGCTGCGTTAACGTGGCGCGTTTAAATGCGCGTTAACGCAACGCTCGACTCAAATCACAGTCCGCGCGCGCGCGTGTGTGTGTAGAGCGAGCGCCCTGTCCACCACGTTCTGTATAATTATTGCGTTGCGTTACGAGCGGCGGGCGAGTGTTGTTGATGCCGATGAAGGGGGCGGTGATGGGGGGAGTAGATTAGTGGCTGTGACATTCGTGGGATACTCGACTCGTCCCGCGTTTTCATCGCGGCATCGGCGGCCGCGTTAGCGCGCGGTGCGCGCGCGCGATGGATATTCCATCGACTCGGCTGAAATATTTCCACTCGTAGTAATAATATTTTTTTATAAACACACAAGTAAAAACAAACACATACGCTTCAAATCTTTCCCCGCAACCTGGGTGAATTATGCGTAAACAATAAATGTATCGCTTTTAGACTGCGGCTGCAGCGTGCGCCGTGAAGTGAGAATTAATGCGATGGAGATGGTAACGATAATGGTGATGAGACATTCCGCGGTTCACTGTACGCATGGCGAAGACACACAACACTCACTCGCAACACACACACACCACTCATATACACAATACTCGCATATACAACACTCACACAACACACACAGCACTCGCACAGACAATAATCGCAGACAACACGCACAGCACTCGTACATACACATACTTACACAAACAACACTCACACACGACACTCGCAACACACACACACACCGAGACAGCTCGCGCTCCCTCTGGAATATTCATAGCCATTTAGCGGCTCGGCATAGCGTGCACAACAGCCTCAGCACACCACGTGTCTCTCTATACGTGCAAACACACGATATGTTCAACGTGATAAAAAACGCATTTAACACAAATGTCTTTAAGCAGCGAGATGTAACTCAACAATGCTTTTTTTACAATTCGACCCACGGGGGCATCTTTGCAGAAACGCTTTTTATAGTCGCCCGCGCTCTTGTTTTTGAGATGTTTCCCCGACCTTGTTTTGGGGGCTTTACCCGCCGCCGATATATTCCTTCTGCTCGTGATTTCTGTTTTGAAGAAGAAGCCGCCGTCTGCGTTTCTCGCGCGAAGAAGCGGTTCACTTGGAGTGGGCTACATCTCCATCGTCCACACACACACACACCAATATATATACACACACACACCAATATATACACACACCAATATATACACACACACCAATATACACACACACACCAATATACACACACACACCAATATATATACACACCAATATACACACCAATATACACACACCAATATACACACACACACCAATATACACACACCAATATACACACACCAATATATATACACACACACCAATACACACACACACACCAATATACACACACACACCAATACACACACACACACCAATATATATATACACACACACACCAATATACACACACACACCAATATATACACACACACACCAATATACACACACACACCAATATATATACACACACCAATATACACACACACACCAATATATATACACCAATATACACACACACACCAATATATATACACACACCAATATATATACACACACCAATATACACACACACACCAATATACACACACACACCAATATACACACACACACCAATATACACACACCAATATACACACACACCAATATACACACACACCAATATACACACACCAATATACACACACCAATATACACACACACCAATATACACACACACACACCAATATACACACACACACCAATATACACACACACACCAATATACACACACACACCAATATACACACACCAATATACACACACCAATATACACACACCAATATACACACACCAATATACACACACCAATATACACACGCACACCAATATACACACGCACACCAATATATACACACACACACCAATATACACACGCACACCAATATACACACACACCAATATACACCCGCACACCAATATACACCCACACACCAATATACACCCACACACCAATATACACCCACACACCCACCCACACCAATATACACACCCACACACACACCCACACCAATATACACACCCACACACACCAATATACACACCCACACCCACCCACACCAATATACACACCCACACCCACCCACACCAATATACACACCCACACACACCCACACACACACCCCCATCCACCACCCACCACAGGGGCACAGGGCCCGAGTTCCGAGCTGGTGGCATCTCGCGGAGTTTCACTGCTACCCGCTCGTGTGTTTGCTCGAGTTTACTTGTTTGTTTATTCACATCATGAGGTTGCTGTGGAATAGTGCGGCGGGGGATGGGAAATCGGGGGTTAGAGAGGGTGGTTTGCAGCGTCTTGTGGGGAGCGGTAGTGTAGTGGTTAGTGCGCTGCGCTACAAACGCGGCCACCCGAGTTCCATTCCCGCTCACGGCCGCCGCCCCCAGGGACCATTCCCTGAACCGCTCCTCGGCCTCCCCTAGGTCGACTCGGCCGCAAATGTGTACCTGGCGCGGTGTGTAAACATCGCTACTGGGGAGACAAAGGCGGCCCGGCGTGATGCTGGCCACCCACCCACCTCGTGTGCCGTGCCGACCTTCATAGGTGCTCGTTAACAGCACTTGGCCACACAGTCTGTTAAAAGGCTACACGGGGGGGGGAGGCATCTTCGTCTTTGCTCGGCAGCGTGCCACTGATTTGTAAAACTGCGCCGTGTGAACGCGCTGTAGTTACGATGGGAGAACTGTGATCACGCTCTGCTCGTTAGTGTAATGATGGTGCGTTTGAGTGTGTGTGTCTTCACGTGTCTCTCGTGTGTGTGTGTGTACACGTGTTTTTAAGTGCGAGGACGATTCCCCCTCACGACCGACATTAACGACGATGATCTGAACCGGTCCTAGGCCTCCCCTAGGTTGATTCGGCCTCAAATGAGTACGTGGTGCGACGTGTAAATAACATCGACGCGAGTGAGACAAAGACGACCGGGCGTGGTTGCTTACCACGCCGGCCTTCATAGGTGCTCGCGAAGCAGAACTTGCCCCGGAGGTCTGCTATGGTTGTACGGGGGATCTTTGTTTTTGATGTATGCGCCTGTGTGTGTTTTCTGTGTGCCTGTATCGTTCCGCTTGTGTGGCGTGACTGTGTTCAGCGGCGTGGTGGCCGTGCTTGACAAGAGCCCTGTGGTACGAGGATCCAATCGGGGTCCAATGTCACCCCCCCCCCTCCCGTCCGCACCCTTTGTAGTCTGGCGTCCGGGCCTCTCTGTCCCGTGGCAGTTGCACCGCCTGCGTACTTGGTAGCTACGCCACTGCGTGTACGCGTGCATGTCTCTCTCACTCTCTTGCATGCAGATGTTGTGTGCGTTTGTCCACTTGTAATGTGCGTGCGCGTGTGCATGTATTGCATTGCGTGTGTTTGCGTGTGCGTGCCCGTTGTCTTTGTACGTGGGGAGCGGTGGTGCAATGGTTAGCGCGGCGCGCTACCAAATCCGAAGTCCCGAGTTCGATTCCCGCTCACGTCCAGCACCAGTGACTATTATCTGAACCGGTCCTGGGCCTCCCCTAGGTCGACTCGGCCTCATGAGTACCTGGTCCGGTGTATAAACATCGCCGCTGGGGAGACAAAGGTGGTCGGGCGTGGTGTTGGCCACCCACCCCCTCGTGTGTCGTCCCGGCCTTCATAGGCGCTCGCTAACAGCACTTGCTCCTATTGTCTGTTAAGGCGACACGAGGGGTCTTTGTCTTTGCACTTGACGCGTGGGTACGTGCATGTGTACGTGTTTTTTTATACGGGTACCCAGTATAGTATGTCTCTCGCAATAGTTTCCCCCCCAAACAGCGTTTCAAGGCTCAAAGGGAAACCGTTATTTAATTTGAGTGTCCGGGCTTGTGAGCTAATTTGGGAGGAGCACGCGGTAGCCCAAGACGTACAAAGTAAGCGTTTCTCTATCTTCTACTGAACTGCTGGATGAAGGCCCCCCCCCCCCTACGCCATGTCGTATAGCGGGGAAGAGGTTGTTTTGACCATACTTCACCAGGAGTGGTTAAAGGCGTGATTCCGTCAGTCCGATGGTCCTTTCGGCCCTTGTGTCGAGAGACGACATCTGGCCTCTCTGCTATATCAGACACACGGTGAATGTTGGTGACGCGGACATTTGTGGCGTTTTCGTCCACGAGCACGCATTGCAGCCAAGCACTCCTTCATCCAAGTTGAGCAAATATTCCAAACGCGTTGAGGCTATACCGGATGCATACGAGTCGTCAGCATCGTCATCGTTGTTGCTACCTCCAAGAGACCGGTATTGACGTTCGTATCAAAGACAAAGATCTCCCGTATAGCCTTAACAGACCTTTTTTGGGGCAAGTGATGTTAGCGATGAGTACCTCCTGAAGGCCGGCACTGCACACGAGAGGTGTTGGTGGCGAGCACCACGCCCAGCCGCCTCAATCTCCCTCGTGGTGATGTTTACTTCACCGCACCAGGAAAACTCATTTGAGGCCGAGTCGACCTAGGGGAGCTCCGTAAATAGTTCACCGTAAGCGAGAATCGAACTCGGGTAGTCGGGTTCGGAACGCAGCGTGCTAACTGCTACACATTCAAATCGGGTCCATCTTGTTTGAAACACCCTGTATACTGTATACCCATACGTATGTATGTAGAACTTCTTTCGCACCCTACGTAGTCAACCGTGGTAATCGGAGGTGTAGGGGAAAGGACAACAAACTAAACACAAAGCTCTTTAAAAAAAAATGAGTTTAAAATCTGGATTATTTTTAAAGTGCATAGCGCCAGTGGCTTCCAAATATCGGAAGGAAGAGCGTTCCAGACGGCCGCAGAGGCGTCCGAAAGGGCGCGACGCGGCGACCGTCTTCGTACGATGGCCAACCACGCGCGCGCACTCCCGATACAATCACGAGCGCTGCCGCTTTGGACGTGCGTGGCTCATCTCACCTGGCGGTTGCGTGGTGTGCTCCTGCCGCTGTCTCCCCCACCCGCCACAGTCAACCCCAACTACACCGGCGCGGAAAGCAAGCGCTCGCGCACCGCCTACACACGCCAGCAGGTGCTCGAGCTGGAGAAGGAGTTCCACTTCAACCGCTACCTCACCCGCCGGCGCCGCATCGAGATCGCCCACTCGCTGTGCCTGAGCGAGCGCCAGATCAAGATCTGGTTCCAGAACCGCCGCATGAAGTGGAAGAAGGACCACAAGTTGCCCAACACCAAGATCCGTTCGGCCACGGCCACCGCCGCCGCGGCCATCGCCACCGCCGGCGGAGGCTCCTCGTCCTCGGCCGGCGGAGGCGGAGGAGGAGGCGGAGGCCCCGACACTCCGGGCGGTAGCGGCATGGCGGTCACGGTGGCGCCGGGCTCCGTGGCGGCCCACGCCGCGTCGGGCCAGAGCGGTCCCACCGGTGGCGTGGCCTCAACCGCCGCCGCTTGCAAAGGCGGTGGCCACCAGGCCCGCACGGCCGATGGCTTGAGCAGGCCCTTGTGAGGAGGACGAGGCGAGCAAGCCGTGGCCGTGATGGTTGCTGCTGCTGCTGCTGGTGGTGGTGGTTGGTGATGATGATGATGTTGTTGTTGTTGTGTAGAGCCAGAGGGACTGTAGCTGTGCAGCGGGATAGCAGCAAGTTGAAGTAGAGTAACGAGTTGGTGTGCTGTGGTAGCCTCCTCCTCCTCCATCATCATCATGAGTATTCATCGCTGCTGCTGCTGCTGCTGCTTCACATGAAAGGGAGATGCAACTCGCGTACATATCTGGCTCGTGTTTTCTGAAACCATGTACAAAATACAAAGACACACACACACTTGCATACACACACACACACTCGTACGTACAAATACGCCGAGGTTTTGTGTACAGGGTAAAGCAGCACGAATGTTGAGGCTTCGTTAAAGTAGCATTAAGACCCCGCCCCTCCCCCCATGTTTAATCCGGTCCTCTCCTCTCTATCTCTCCAGCTATCTCTTTACTCATTCTCTGTCCGGTTACTCCTCACCTGTCTCGCGCTTTTACCTGCGTGGTGCTCTGAGATGCATTGTTTTAAGAGCGCCTCTGTACAAAATCCAAGTTAGTATTATTGAAGTAATTGACGTTCCATTGACATGCCCTGTCAACCCACATGCTTTACCCGTATTCTTGTACAGGGACATTGAGTTTTCAGGTCCGTACGGCGTACAGCCGTTTCAATACGGGCAAAAAAAACATGTTTTGTCTTTGTTTGTGTTTCTCCCTTGTGATGGGACTTTGTAGGATAAACGTTGAGATGTATAAGTGCACGGGGTGACCAATAAGGTCCGGAATCGGTCTGTAATAAGGTCGGCACTGATAAGGGGTTGACAGGTATGAATTGACGTCATCACATCGCTGAATCGGCGCTCTTAAAAAGAAAAGATTCACGGACTTAATCTTTTCATGACTTTGTTTACAAACAAATCACTCGCGAAGTGTGATCAAATCATCACGCGGTGCATGCACTTCGACATACACACACGCGCGCGCGTGACACACACACACACACACACGCGCGTGACACACACACACACACGAGCGTAACATTGGTTGTACGTGTTGAGGTTGCGCCTTTCCTTTTCTGAGAGTCGCAGCTTAACTCGGATTGTGTTTTAGTATAAGCGTCGTCGTCGTTGTCGTCATCACCGCCTCCGCCACGGTTGGTATGATCGCTGTCTTTGCCATCCATCGCGTGTTCTGTTCGTTTGGACCAATCGGTGGGGGGGGGGGCCCGTCAGGGCCATCGATCGTCAGCGAGCTTCAGGTGATCTCGCTCGCTCGCTGTCTCTCTCTCTCTCTCTTACGGGGACCACAGCAACTGCTGCTGCTGCTGCCGTTGCTTTTGTCAATTGCAGGCGACTGCGGTGTCGGTGTCGCCGCGTATTTAAAACGCATCACTTTAATGCACATATTTTTTGTTGTTGTAATCTATAAGGAAAACAGGGTACGTTTTGTTATTTTATTGGCTGCATTACAATCCATAGCGGAAACGTTTTGCCTCATTTCAACGCAGAGCTTACGGAAGCTTTGATGTGTTTTATATGTGTGTGTGTGTGCGCGCATGTATGACCGTATGGGAAGCGGTGGTGTAGCGGTTAGCGCGCTTTGCAACGAACCTGGCGAACCGAGTTCGATTCCCGCTCACGGTCAGCGACAACACCTGTGACGATTATCTGAATCGGTCCCGAGCCTCCCCCTAGGTCGCCTCGGCCTCAAAATGAGTACCTGGTGCGGTGTGGAGTAAACATCGCCACTGGGGAGACAAAGGCGGCCGGGCGTGGTGCTGCCCACCCACCCCATCGTGTGCTCGCGAACAGCACTTGCCTCAGCAGCACGTTAAAAGCTGTACTGTGTGGGGGGGTGGGTGGGTGGGGGGCGGGTGGGTGGGTGGGATCTTTTCGTGGAGTTGGTGGCGTAGTGGTTAGTGCAGTGGGTTACCATTTCGGCGACCCGGGCCATTCAACGTCCCGGTCATTGGATAGCCATCAAGTAAGCGGCACTTCGTTTTTTTAACTAACTTATGTGTTTGGCCTCCCCGAGAGTCAACTCGGCCGTAAACGAGTTGGAGTACTTGGCCGAGGTTCATTGTTCAACGTCGGCAAGGGTGGTTGGGCCTGCCTGACCCGCGCCGCGTCGTGCGCGCGCCTTAATAGGTGCTCGCAAAACGTCAATTGTCTCTCAACAGTCTTAACGCTAAAGGGTGGTGGGCTACGGGGGGGGGGGCAGGGAAAGGGAGGGGGGGTATCTGTGTATTTGTGTACGTGTACACGTTTGCATGTGCGTCTGTGTGTGTGTGTGCGTGCGCGAGACACAAGTCATAATTTTAAATACACAACGTGTGTACCACACAACGCCGCTTAATTTGACGTGCGTTTCTCGTTCCGAACGTCGAGTTATTTTTCCCATGGCTTTAACTGGCGACGTGATTGATAAAATAGGCTCTCATCAAGTGTCGTTTATATTCTCTATACATAGAGTTACACAATTATTAATAAGTATTATTAATAATAAAAGGTCGGGTGTATTTTACAGGCGGAACGTTGGGGGGTGGTCGTTTCACACAGCATCCACTTGTTCTTAAAACGTTGCCCTTTTCATGATAATAAGTGTTTCGTTTTCGCCGTGTACATAATTATATATCTTGCGACAGCGTTAATGTTGACGGTTTGTACAAAAAGACAAAACACAAATATGAGTTGTGTACACCAAACGGAGCTATACAGGGTGTGTAAATCTACTCGTGTGTATTTATATATATAAAAATATATATTAAAAAAACAAACACAAAAATGCATAAGTTAAACGCAACAACAAAAACCCGCGACCAACTCGGTCGCCGGATGGAGGCTGCGGAGAGTAGCCAGGAACACGTTCGCGTCGCGACGATGCAGGCGCTGTCCCCTCCTCTCTCTTTCTCCCACGTGGAGCGCTGCCCAAGGCGTCATCTCGGCGAAGAGTTCACGTCATTTATGCTTATTATTATTATTATTACGTGGTTAATTATCTGTTTCATAGGAAGATATTATTAATAAAGTTCATTGCATATATGCACTTTGTGTGTGTGTTTTTTCAGAGGTTTTGAAATACAATGCGCCATAATAAAAATAACTATCAGCAGTAGCAACGGGAAAGTTTAGGAATTGGACATGTCTAACCGTATGTGTGTGCTCGCTAACAGAAACTGCACTGACAAACTTAAGACGATACAGTGGATATTTGTAGGGATGACGTGTGTGGAGCGGTGGCGCAGTGGTTAGCGCGTTGCTCTACGAACTCGGCGACCCGAATTCGTTTCCTGCTCACGAGCAACACCAGTGACGATTATCTGAACCGCTCCTAGGCCTCCCCTAAGTCGACTCGACCTCAAATGAGTATCTGGTGCGATGTGTCGTAAACATCGCCATTCGGGAAACAATGGGGGTCTGGCGTGGTACTAGCCACACACCCCCTCGTGTGCCGTTCTGGCCTTTATAGGTGCTGCTCGCTAGCAGCACTTGCCCCTACATTCGCTTAACGCTATACTGGGGATCTTTGTGTGTATGTACGACGTCACGCTTTGTTGACATCAAGACAAGGTAGCGCGTGGTGTGTGGAGGCACGGCAGCATAAGTCACTACGTCGCACATTTGCCCCTTCTCTCTCTCCAATTGAAAGGTCAAGGCGCAGCCCTGTAAAATTTACCTCGCTCCAATCACGCCACTGCTGGCGGAAGGGACCTCCTACCCGAGGGAGCTCTCGAGACGGTGTTTGTCCGACTCTTCAATGCTGACCAGACGTCTTTGGAAGAAGGTGGCGGTGCCCACACTGTAACCCCGCCCTGGTGGTGCCCACACTTTAACTCCCCTGACGGTGCCCACACTTTAACTCCCCTGACGGTGCCCACACTTTAACTCCCCTGGTGGTGCCCACACTATAACCTCCCTGGTGGTGCCCACACTTTAACTCCCCTTGCGGTGCCCACACTTTAACTCCCCTGGTGGTGCCCACACTTTAACCCCCCTGGTGGTGCCCACGCTTTAACTCCCCTGGCGGTGCCCACACTTTAACTCCCCTGGTGGTGCCCACACTTTAACTCCCCTGGCGGTGCCCACACTTTAACCCCCCCGCCCACACTTTAACCCCCCCTGGTGGTGCCCACACTATAACCCCCCTGGTGGTGCCCACACTTTAACTCCCCTGGTGGTGCCCACACTTTAACCCCGCCCTGGTTGTGCCCACACTTTAACCCCCCCGCCCACACGTTAACCCCCCCGGTGGTGCCCACACTTTAACTCCCCTGGCGGTGCCCACACTTTAACTCCCCTGGTGGTGCCCACACTTTAACCCCCCTGGTGGTGCCCACGCTTTAACTCCCCTGGCGGTGCCCACACTTTAACTCCCCCGGTGGTGCCCACACTTTAACCCCCCCTGGTGGTGCCCACACTTTAACTCCCCTGGTGGTGCCCACACTTTAACTCCCCTGGCGGTGCCCACACTTTAACTCTGCCCTGGTGGTGCCGAGCGACTTGGGTGTGGCGTTACCCATGAACAGAGGCGGTGGGGGTGGTGGGATTTAATAATCTTGCCACATTGTTTTAACTGCCGCTCCGGGAGATGGAATCGAACAGGCGATATCTAAATTGCAAGTCCGGTGTTCTAACCATCACACTGCCTTCGAGTCTCGGTAAAAACGTGAAGATTTTGCTGGATATTGCTAAGCGTGTAACCGGTTCTTTTTTCATGCGGTTAGCGGTATAACAACGATAACAATTTTTTTTTTTAGCAACGTTAAGATAACCAAGTAGCATCGCGTTCGTTTTAAAATAACAATTATATATTGGGTTAGGCTTGGGGCAATGGCCCTCTTTCATAGCACATGCAGCAGACCCATTGCCCGAAACGTTTACTTTTGAATTGTGCGTGTACGCCACTGCGAACGTATAAGCAGCGGCGAATAAAGTATTTCGCCTTCAGCAAGACACCGAGTTAAAAGTTGCAACAACCCCACAGCTTCGATTGTATTTCGTACTAGTTTTTACACATCCACGCACGCTCTCGCCTTCATCGCCCGCGATAGTGTGCCCTCGTCTCACCCTTGCCACTCATCATCACTCGATAGCAACATCGTGGGGGGGGGGGGGGGGGAGTCACTCCCCACCCTCCCCCTCTTTCACCGCGAGAAGGCTATTTTTACATTCACTGCGCAGGGCGCTGGGACTTCGCATTCCTGAATGGGCGAGCGCCGTCGCGACGCGCCGATGTCTCTATCCCCGCAAGCCGGACCGC